TGCATTGGCAATTTCGCCAACTTTGAGCCCTATTTTCGGCCAATTCCATTGTTCCAGTCGACCAAACTCATAGCTATTTCTTTAGCACTCCATTTTTTCTATCAATTGAGTACAAGAAACCCCCTATTTACCGATTTCAAGTACCCAATAAGGTGGTCAGAATTTGGCAATTTGGTCAATTTCATGCAAATTAAAAAAGATGCCAATTTCAAAATAGTGTCCAGAATAAACCACGCAGACATATTTGGCACTAAAATAACATATCCTCTGTTCATTAGTCACATCTCCAGGCCCCTCTTGCTTTCTATTTAGATTTTTTATTCACACAAAAAAATGGAATATTTACTGTTATGCAGACCACTGCATTATTGTATAAATATTATAATTAATATCAGTGCACTAGTGAAAGAATATTAGACTCCCCAGTTGACGTGTATTGGACGTGTGGTGTGATTTGCTTACTCTTGAACATTGATAAAAATCGAACATTTCCGCTATTTTGAGCTCAATTTCAAAGTCGCTTTCATCATGAAACTAATCAAAATCATCTCTATTTCTGTAATATCTTTCCCATTCTATCAAATGAGACCAAAAAAACGAGAATACAACCATAAATACTATAGGAAAATACACCTCAAATTCGGCGTTTTAATCCAAAAACACGGTCGGAGTTCTTTTCTCTCATTATGTACTGCATGCTGCAGGATTTTTTTTATACAGTGCACACTGACCACACAGACCCAGTCTCTCACATATGGGCCTACCAGCTTTCTCCTGCTTGATTTGAAGCCACTAGAATTTTTTTTTTTTTTTCAACAAGTCGGCCGTCTCCCACCGAGGCAGGGTGACCCAAAAAAGAAAGAAAATCCCCAAAAAGAAAATACTTTCATCATCATTCAACACTTTCACCACACTCGCACATTATCACTGTTTTTGCAGAGGTGCTCAGAATACAACAGTTTAGAAGCATACACATATAAAGATACACAACATATCCCTCCAAACTGCCAATATCCCAAACCCCTCCTTTAAAGTGCAGGCATTGTACTTCCCATTTCCAGGACTCAAGTCCGACTATATGAAAATAACCGGTTTCCCTGAATCCCTTCACTAAATATTACCCTGCTCACACTCCAACAGATCGTCAGGTCCCAAGTACCATTTGTCTCCATTCACTCCTATCTAACACGCTCACGCACGCTTGCTGGAAGTCCAAGCCCCTTGCCCACAAAACCTCCTTTACCCCCTCTCTCCAACCCTTTCAAGGACGACCCCTACCCCGCCTTCCTTCCCCTATAGATTTATATGCTTTCCATGTCATTCTACTTTGATCCATTCTCTCTAAATGACCAAACCACCTCAACAACCCCTCTTCTGCCCTCTGACTAATACTCTTATTAACTCCACACCTTTTCCTAATTTCCACATTCTGAATTTTCTGCATAATATTTACACCACACATTGCCCTTAAACAGGACATCTCCACTTCCTCCAACCGTCTCCTCGCTGCTGCATTTACCACCCGAGCTTCACACTCATATAAGAGTGTTGGTACTACTATACTTTCATACATTCCCTTCTTTGCCTCCATAGATAACGTTTTTTGACTCCACATATACCTCAACGCACCACTCGCCTTTTTTCCCTCATCAATTCTATGATTAACCTCATCCTTCATAAATCCATCCGCCGACACGTCAACTCCCAAGTATCTGAAAACATTCACTTCTTCCATACTCCTCCTCCCCAATTTGATATCCAATTTTTCTTTATCTAAATCATTTGATACCCTCATCACCTTACTCTTTTCTATGTTCATTTTCAACTTTCTACCTTTACACACATTCCCAAACTCATCCACTAACCTTTGCAATTTTTCTTTAGAATCTCCCATAAGCACAGTATCATCAGCAAAAAATAACTGTGTCAATTCCCATTTTGAATTTGATTCCCCAAAATTTAATCCCACCCCTCTCCCGAACACCCTAGCATTTACTTCCTTTACAACCCCATCTATAAATATATTAAACAACCATGGTGACATTACACATCCCTGTCTAAGACCTACTTTTACCAGGAAGTAGTCTCCCTCTCTTCTACACACCCTAGCCTGAGCCTCACTATCCTCATAAAAACTCTTTACAGCATTTAATAACTTACCACCTATTCCATATACTTGCAACATCTGCCACATTGCTCCTCTATCCACTCTATCATATGCCTTTTCTAAATCCATAAATCCATAGAATTATTGAGTATATATACGTCCGAAACACTGGCTTGTAAGATGTATACGTATATACAGCCGAAACAGTCAAAGGGTTAAACTGCATTCATAAAAACAATACAGCCTCTCCTCACTTAGCGGCGTACTCGTTTACTGACAACTCGGACTTACGACAGGTTCTCTGACCAGTTTACATACCTAAATAATGTATGTTAGAGCTGATTTCCTCTACTATTCTGTTTATTACAATATACAGTACACTACGTACTGTATGAACATTTGAAAATACAGTGGACCCCCGGTTAACGATATTTTTTCACTCCAGAAGTATGTTCAGGTGCCAGTACTGACCGAATTTGTTCCCATAAGAAATATTGTGAAGTAGATTAGTCCATTTCAGACCCCCAAACATACACGTACAAACGCACTTACATAAATACACTTACATAATTGGTCGCATTCGGAGGTAATCGTTATGCGGGGGTCCACTGTATACCAGAAATGTTATAAATGGTGCAAAGGTGACATTAAAACAATATCAAAGATGGTTAACACAAATCCACTACCATCATAGTATGCTCCTCACTTAGCTATGAATTCGTTTACCAACGTGAGTTTGGGAACGGAACTCCGCCATTAAGTGAGAAGAGGCTGTATTATTTACTAAGGAGGAAAATTTTTACAGTGAAAATGTACAATGTATAAAGAGACTCCTGTATGCAAGAATGCTTTATGTTCATTATTTGGTTTATTATAATATTCAATAGGAAGCACTAAACCTGTGGGGGTCATACAGTGCCTAGGGAGTGGAAAGCATTCAAGACTTGTGATTTTATTGAATAACTGCATACTGTAGTTTAGAGTTTAATTTCATCACTTTATCTACTGAGTAATGTATTTTCTGTTAATAGATGAAAGATAATGTCAATACTGAATGATGGTGAAAGTGTTTCTTTATTTTTTGGGTCACCCTGTCTTAGTAGGAGACGGCCAGTGTGTTGGCAAAAAAAATGACTTTAGTGGGTTGGAAAATATGAATTCTTCACCATTAAGCGGGTTGTGCAATGGAGACATTTATATATTGTGCCTATGGGAAGAATTTCAAAAAACCTAACTCAGCATAATGTAATCTACCTTAGATTTTGAGATAAATACTGTGTAAGGTTAGGTTTGGTTTGGTTGGATTTAGTTTTTTAGGTTACCCCAAAAAAATTTTTTTTTCCAAATACTGTAGACCTGAAATATAACTGTCTCCATTACACAATCTATTTAATGTTGTAGAATTTACAGACTAAAAATCTGAGCAGCTGCAGTAAATATTCAACAAAATGCCCCAAAAAACATGATTTTTGCAAAACCCACATATTATACAGTAAACTATAAATTATCATCTAACTTTATTAAGAAGCTGAGTAATATTGACTAAATAATTTTCTAGTAGCCTTCCATATTATTATAATTTAAAAAAATGGCAAAAGACTTGTTTTAAATATTACTTTTAGCAGCAATTTTACTCAGCACAAACTACAGGAACCACACATACCTTTCTGTTTGACTTAAGCAGGAACCAGCAGCAAACAATACACAGGTTATGGAAGCAACGGGAAAAGAGGACAACAGCTGTCACCCACACACGATGCCCAATGTATTGTCCAACACAAGTGTAGTAATTTCTAAAGGAATGGAAAGTTGACATTTCTGATTATTATTATTTTCTGGAGAAGAACTACACCTATAAAGGTTATACAGCACCTGAGGAATGGAAGGTAATCAGATTTAATCCAAAGAAAAGTAGCTCCAATTCCCTGGATAGAGAGCCCTTCACCATCATCAGGTCACCCCTGCCCCCTACTCCTTGAAGGGAATATTTCTGATATTATAGTAGGAAAAACCCTGAGATAACACTACGCAGCTGAACAACATAACAAAGACCCAACAGATGGTAATACAACATGTTCCTATAGGAAGAAATAATGTATGTTACACTTAACAGTCTGTATGTTATAAGAGTCAAATAAAACTAATACACTGTTTGATGACTGGAAGCCAAACCCTGAGGGGCCACTATATATGTACAGAAAATGATTGCAGATCATTATTTTTCTATTCATGACAAAGCGCTAAACCCACAGTAATTATAGGCACACCTCACTTTAAGGTGCTTCACTTTAGAACGCTTCGCTAATACGGCGCTTTCCAATTATATTTATTATTTTCAGTACTTGTCTTGCTCTTAAGATGGTTTTTGGCATATTTTGTATTATTTTTCTTGTACATCTTTTTAGTCCAATTGCACTTAATAAATGATAGTGTAAGCAAGTTTATAGGATTTTATATGCACTAGCAAGTGAAAAAGACACTGCAATTCACTTTAAAGCAATATTTGCTTTACAACGGTGGTCCTGCCCCGTCACCTGCTGTATTAGCAAGGTATGTATATCTGTATGCAGCAACTGGAGACTGGGAGGCAATTGAGTTTGATTCAAGGAAGGAGAGGGTTGCTCCAATTTCTTGCTTCAAGAGCACTTCACCAACATCTACATGCCACTCTTGAAAGGGAATGATCTCCATAAACTTTCATATATTTCTCATGGCAAAACTTTTGAAATGATTAAGTCATTATTGCACAGCTTTACATAATCCTTAACAGGTAATACTGCACTACAAAAGACTACTAGTGCATTTTATTTAAAAAGAAACAATAAGCATTAAAAAACATACAACAAATATATGAATATAAAGAGCATCATAGAGGTAAAATGAAAAGACAAAATGATTGAATCTTATGTTGAAAATTTACACTACTGGTAACATTGATAATATCTAAGAAATTATTATACTGTACTACAACTTACAGAAAGACTTATCACAATTTATATATAGTACAGTCTCAGCTAAGACCCATAACCTAAAAGAATAGTACACAGTATCACAGAAATATGTTATTACAGTGTACATTACAAATGTTTTCATCTGAATCTGATGATCAACATCAGAAGTAATTACACCACAACCGGCACTCTATTACAACTGTTCTTTGGCATCCAAGATCAAGCACTGAATACCCATAAGTGTTTAGTGCTTTCTAGAATTGTTATTATTAATATTATTATATTTACAAGAAATTGTTGCAGTGAATATAATAATAATAATAATAATAATAATAATAATAATAATAATAATAATAATAATAATAATAATAATGGTAATAACTGAGTTGCCTGAACTCTGAAGATGTGCTGCATGAATGATGGTGAAATGAGTTTCCTTCTTTGTGACATCTTACCTTGCTGGGAAATATCTGTTAGGGTAAAAAAAAAAAAAAAATCAAGTTCATCAAAATGACAAGACACCAGGTGTGCCCCCTTCCAGTTCCAGTGAACAAATGTGAACAAGAAGCCACCTGACTGCTGCATAGTACTGTACACAAGTTACTGTACTTGTGGCCTGGTTCCAGACCAGGCCTCTTGGTTATGGCTTCATCAGTCAAGCTATTGGTGCTAGTAGCACACAGCTTGCAAAGTAAAAAGCAAAGCTGAAATTGTGAGGTTTAATGTTAATTAAGTGAAAGGATTCTCGGGGAGAGAACCTAGAAGGAAAATGAAGTTTGCTAATTATAAGCAATGTTGTTATTGCTGACAGGTGGTTTATACAGAATCTCATAGACTTAAAGAATTTAAGGCCATAGCCACATCTAATTTTCACGTAAGCCATGGAAAACGGAAAAAAATTAGACATATTAAAAATATTAATAATGTTGAATTATTTTATGAAGATAGTGTTCCACCTTCACTGTTATTGGTGAGGAATACAAGGCAACATTTTGGACAGATAACTATTATTATTATATTGATGAGAAGGCTAGAAGACTGAGGAGACTGTGTCAGGACATACAGGAAAGACTTTCAGCTTTGTTACCTGGAGTTTACCTGGAGAGGGTTTCTGGGGTCAATGCCCCTGTGGCTCGGTCTGAAACCAGGCCACATGGTGGATCAGGGTCTGATCAACCAGGCTGTTACTGCTGGCCACACACAAACTGATGTACGAACCACAGCCCAGTTGGTCAGGTACTGACTTAAGGTGCCTGTCCAGTGCCTTCTTGAAGACAGTCAGGGGTCTATTGGTAATCCCCCTTATGTTTGGTGGGAGGCAGTTGAACAGTCTTGGGCCCTGGACACTTACTGTGTTGTCTCTCAATGTACTCGTGGCACCCCTGCTTTTCATCAGGAGAATGTTGCATCTCCATAGGGAGTGATTTTTGTGTGCAGGTTTGGTACCAATCCCTCCAGGACCTTCCAAGTGTATATTATCACGTACATGTATCTCTCTCATCTGCAGTCCAGGGAATACAGATCAAAGACTTTCAACCGTTTCTAGTAATTTAGGTGCCTTATTGTACTTATGTGTGCTGTGAAAGTTCTTTGTACGCTCTCCAGGTCTGCAATGTCACCAGCCTTGAAGAGGGCCGTTAGTGTACAGCAGTATTCCAGCCTAGAGAGAACAAGCGATTTGAAGAATGTCATCATGGGTTTGGCGTCCCTAGTTTTGAAGGTTCTCATTATCCATCCTATCATTTTCCTAGCCGATGAGGTAGATACATTGTTGTGGTCTTTGAAGGCAAGATCCTCTGACATTATCACTCCCAAGTCTTTCACATTTCTTTTTTGCTCTATTGTATGGTTAGAATTTGTCGTATACCCTGATACATTTTTAATTTCCTCAAGTTTTCCATATCTGAGTAGTTGAAATTTCTTCGCATTGAACTTCATATTGTTTTGAGTGGCCCATTTAAAGATTTGATTGATGTCCACTTGGAGTCTTGCAGTGTCTTTGATGGAGGTCACTGCCATGGCAATCCAGGTGTCATCTGCAAAGGAAGACATGGAGCTATGGCTTACATCTCTATGTCAGAAATGAGGATGAGGAATAGAATGGGAGCGAGTACTGTGCCTTGTGAAACAGAGCTCTGTTTGCTATTACTCTTTGTGTTTTATTTGTCAGGAAGACATAGATCCATCTACCAACTTTTCCTGTTATTCCTTTATCACGCATTTTGTGTGCTATTACACCATGGTCACACTTGTCGGAAGCTTTGGCTAAGTCTGTGTATGTATACTACATCTCTATTTTGTTCATCCTCAACAGCATCCAGGACCTTGTCATAGTGGTCCAGGAGCTGAGACAGGCAGGAGCATTCTGCTCTAAACCCGTGTTGCCCTAGGCTGTGTAATTGATGGGTATCTAGGTTGTTGGCTATCTTGCTTCTTAGAACCCTCTCAAAGATTTTTATAATATGGGATGTTAGTGCTATCGGTCTGTAGTTCTTTGCAATTGCTTTACTGCCACCTTTGTGGAGTGGGGCTATGTCTGTTTTTTTAGTATGTGGGGGATGACCCCTGTGTCCATGCTTCCTCTCCACAGAATGCTGAAAGTATGCGATAGGGGCTTCTTGCAATTCTTGATGAACATGGAGTTCCATGAGTCTGAGCCTGGGGCAGAGTGCATGGGCATGTCATTTATTGCCTTTTCAAAGTTTTGTGGAGTCAGGATAATATCCAACATTTTTGAGATGACCAAATTTTGGGTTTCCTTCATAAAGAATTCAATTGGATTGTCAACCCTTAGTCTGGGCAACAGCTTGCTGAACACTGAGTCGTATTGGGACTTCAATATCTCACTCATTTCTTGCAGTTATACGCCAACTGCAAAATGTACATCTCCCAAAACTGAATGGAAAGACTACCCCTAGTCTACAATACAGAAAATACTTGATTTACACTTAATATATCCTTTGGGAAAGGTTCCAAAAATATTTTTGAAAAGAGATGACAGACCTTCAGATAAATAAAAAAACATGGATTTGAACATCAATGTATGGTTAAAGAAAATCTATTTACTAATCTAATACCAGCTCTCTGATCCAGCAAATGGATGAAAGTGCTATATACTGTATTTTCCAGCAAAAAAAAAAAAAAAAAAAGTCTTGGAAAATCAGTCTGTGTCTTATATGCTCAAAATCAGGGTCAAGGGTCAGCTTTGGGTTATACTTTAGCAAGTTGTTTACTAATGCTATGTTACAACTGCTGGGAAACATCGTGCCAGCAAACAGCCCACACTTGTGCGTCTTATATGCCAGAAAATATGGTAACTTATGTGCTCTATAAAAAAGTATATTTTAAATGAGGTTTTAGTACTGCATTCTGATGATGAGGATGAGGCTTTGTGGAAACTATCAAGACAACAGACATGCCCATTAAGGTAGTAACTCAAAGGAGGTAACATTTCTATCACTTATTCCTTAGCTGTCTTTTTAGAAGTGCACATACATATAAATTTAAATTACCCTTTTTTTACCACACTAGCAGTCTCTTACTAAGGTAGGAGTTGCAACACCCACGCTTCTCCACTTGAGTGCTGGTACTGTACTATCCACTGGGGCTCAAGTAAAGTTAACTATTTACACTGAACCCCTTCATAAATGTTACCTTGATCACTCCAGAGCACACAAAGCCTTCATACAAAAACTACTCATCTCCACTCACCCAGAACTAACACACTCACACATGCCTGTTGGATGTTCATGCTCCTACCACTTTAAAACCTCTTTTGTACTTTCCCTCTAATCCTTCCTGGCATGACCCCTGCCCCTCATTCCTTCTACTCCAACTTACCCCCTTGGTAATCCAATTCTGCTCCATCCTCTCTAAATGCCTCAACTATAACTCAGAATTATACCTTTCATAACCCCACACCACTCCCCAATACCTCAATATTCACTTCTTTTACTACCCCATCTATAAATACTGTACATATATTAGACATCCACAGTGACATCACACATTCATGCCTCAGACCTACTTTTACTGGAAAATAGTCCATTACTCCCTTACATACACTAACATGAGCCTCACTCTCCACATAAACACTCTTCACTGTTTTTACTAACCTACCTATCAGCAACATCTGCCAAACTAAGGGATTATTATTATTATTATTATTATTATTATTATACAGTACTCACAGAAGATTGTTTAGCCTATATGGGTCCTTCAGCACCATTAAAGTTTTGTTTAACTATTGTTAAGTGAATAATTAACATTACTGAGTATATGACATATATAATAATTATTATTAATTTTACATTCAAGGGAAAACAGTAAATCCAGCATTTCAGGAATGAAAGATAATCAGATTTAATCCAAAGAAGGGAAGGGTAATTCTAATTCTTTGGAGGGAGAATAATTCAGCAGTCACAACCACCCCTCTAGAAGGAAGAAATGCAACTGACATACAGGCCATCCCAGGCTCTGATGACTGACGCACCTTCACAAATTCAAGAAGGTACACACTAATATACTATGTAACTACTTTCTTGTACAATACAATAATATCTATACTGTATCTTGAGCAAGATAAGCCTGCAGTTCTAACTGCAGTACTGTACAGTATAGTGGTACATAATAAACCTTAACCATAAAATATCAATATAAATCAAATCTCAAGGTTAAATGTATAATAATCATGGCTGCCACTTTACAACCTTACTAAACAAGGAGAAGGGGAAAAGGAGGTGGAGGAGGAGGGAAAAGATGATGAGAGACAGGAGGGGAAGAGAGAGAAAGAAAAGAAGGGGGAGAAGGATGAAGATGAGTTGGAGTGAGAGCAAACTGAAGGAGAGTGCAAGGAGGAGGTGGGAAGAGGAGCTATATCTAATGGTAAGCTGCTTTAGTGTTGTAATAACTGATGACAGTAGCAGGAAGGGGAGGAATAAAACTGTTTATCATATTATGTTACTGTTGATTTTTCAATCTTTTTTTTTTCCATGAGGAAGAGTCAGTCTTATCAAATACTCTTTGAGGGTCTGATAGAGCTGCATGAACCTTCACAAGAACTATGGCAAAGATGAATTAAGATGCAGAATACAAAGGAACACCTCCAAATTTCCTCCAAGTAGGTGCTGAAATAACAACTATTTTCTTTCTGGAGGTTCCATTAGTAATAATGCTAAAATAGAAGTCGCAGAGAACCTCGGACATCTCACATACAACCTTCAACAACTAATTTTGCATCTTTAACAAGTTACTGTATGCAAAATAAACATGAGATACTGAGTATCTGATCCTCTGCCACTGCACCACTCAATTCTTTACTGAGAAAAATGTTAAACTAATATATACAGTGTATAACATGAAAAAATTCAGTGTAATACAAAATGGCTTAGCTTTAAGTTTAACATACACAAAGCTCGGAATGTCTTCAATGTTCAAAAAGAATTTTTACAGCTATACAAATAATTCAAGCTAAATAATCATTTGACAGAAACAAATTACTAATGATCAAACTATAATTTCTTTGATAATACTGTACTGTATAATAGTGGAAGCACAATATTGACAAGTCTCTTACTGAAAAGTGGTATGGCAAAACATTTCCTCTGTCTTTTTCCAAAAGTCTTTTATTATTGTCAATATCAAACTATATTTCTCTTGCAGTTACATCACTGCATAATCTTTCATTATTGTCAATACTGAACTACATTTCTCTTGCAGTTCCATCACTGCATAATCTTTTATTATTGTCAATATCAAACTACATTTCTCCTGCAGTTCCATCACTGCATAATCTTTTATTATTGTCAATATCAAACTACATTTCTCTTGCAGTTCCATCACTGCATAATCTTTTATTATTGTCAATATCGAACTATATTTCTCCTGCAGTTCCATCAACATATAATACTGATTCACAGATTTAGTCTTCAACTTGGTGGTAAAATAATTTTGTACCACATAACTCTGCATGATAATCATACCTTTCAATTCAATCAACATAAATTAAAAATGGAGACTCATTATGAAACCATCTCAATTACAAACATTTAGTAGAAATGTTCATATGATTAATATGACCAAATGTGTTTGTTTTACCCTTCATAATAAAAATTATGATTTCATAACTGACCAAATGATAATACAGTAAAAGCCAAAGGAAACTATAACAAATCAATGATATTAAACAAGTTATCATCATCAAGGAAATTAAATAAATTAATTACAATGTAACTATGTTACATTATAGTTCTGTTTCCTAAGCAGTGATTGGATCAATAGTTCTGCTTCCTAAGCAGTGCTCTGATCAATAGTTCTGCTTCCTAAGCAGTGATTGGATCAATAATTTGGCTTCCTAAGTAGTGCTTGGATCAATAATTCTGCTTCCTAAGCAGTGATTGGATCAATAATTCTGCTTCCTAAGCAGTGATTGGATCAATAATTCTGCTTCCTAAGCAGTGCTTGGATCAATAGTTCTGCTTCCTAAGCAGTGCTTGGATCAAACTAGTTCTTAATGAACATAAACTTTCAAGAAATATACATTATTCACATGTATTGTACCTGTCACACATGCACGCAGAACACGGCAAGAACATGAAGTTTATTAATAAGGTAACTGTTATGGAGTAACAGTTCTGTTGATCTACCATTACTGAAAACAGAACTTATCCTTCCATAACAGTCCTCAAGCTAAATAAGTGAAGAGATTCCCTCACTATGGGAATGTTAGCTGTAATAATGTGAAAATGATGGGCCTGCCATTGAATACAAGTACAGAGCTGCATTTTGGTATACAGTGGACCCCCGGTTTACGATCAGCTCCCAATGCGACCAATTATTTAAGTGTATTTATGTAAGTGCGTTTGTATGTGTATGTTTGGGGGTCTGAAATGGACTAATCTAATTCACAATATTCCTTATGGGAACAAATTCGGTCAGTACTGGCACCTGAACATACTTCTGGAATGAAATAATATTGTAAACCAGGGGTCCACTGTATTGTTCTGTAAGGGACAAAATAGTAATCATACTGAGCTTGGAAATGCCTTGGAAAATGAATATGTTCCAGTGGGATGTGAAGTGTTGACGGTTAAGCAAGCTCTAGGGATACCTGGAGTGTACCTGGGTTATACCTGGAGGATTTTCGGGAGGTCAATGTCCCCATGGCCCAGTCAGTGACCAGACCTCGCAGTGGATCAGGAATGTCTATTATCCTTCACAACGTATTTTTACTGGCCAGTTTCAACATTTAATTGTGCTACTCATTTTATGTACACTCATGACTCATCCCTTGTACTGTACTACCCATTTTATGTACATGCATAAAGATATATTAACCAAACTATGCTACAGGTTAAGTCAGTGATTAATAAGTCTCATGTTAAAAGAGAAATGTGACTAGGCATATGAGATTAAGCATAAAATATGGCTGTTAACCAGATCTTTGAAATGCCTACATGTATATGGTAATTATACTTTGCATGCATGATTAAACATTACATAAAGAATGGGTGTCTAGCACATTGTATATGTAAAAAAGTGTTTTTAACATATAATAAAACTGCCTTGGCAGGCAACGGCCAATTTATTAAAAAATAAAACTCTCTAATTTCCATATTTTACATCAACATTCACGGGCTGGTACCCGAAGTACAGGTATACAAACACCGGGACTGGCATCAAAAACACCATCTGCAGGAATAATGGGAAATGCAAGAACATACTGGTACTATGCATAACTCATGTTCAGGGGTTGAGCATTTGCTTCAGAATAAAAAAAAACAAAAAAACAGGCTTGATTCCCAGATATGGTGAGATATGTGAAAAAAATGTCCTTACACCTGCTGCCTCTGTTCACTTAACAGCAAACAGGTGGTTGGATTTTAATTGGCTGCTGTGGACTGCATCTTGGAACCAAAAAGAGCCCAAAAGATATAAGCTACACTCCTAGACTTTCTTGGGTTATAGTGGCTTACTAACCCAAGAAATATCTTCTTCTTCTTCTTCTTCTTTACAACTCCCAGCTCAAGCCAAACCAGTATTGATCTAGTATAAGTCAAAGATTAACATTGACACAATGGCTAAAATGCCTGGCCTAATGAATTACTGGAGAGAAAACTTGCATTAACCTAAACCTATTAACATTCTAGAAATGTTACATAGAACATTAATATTTGAAATTACATAAAAGGGAAATGGTAAGATAACATACTCAAAGATATTCAATCATGTTAAATTATGTTTCAACACCTATCATATTAACCACAGTATACTGTATTAATTTCAAAACTGACTTACATTACATTCGAGTACTGCATACAGTACAATTTGCAAAGTATTACATATTATTTTTGTAAGTAATATGTACTGTCATCCACACTGTAGCTAATGTGCCTTCTTGTAGAAGGTAGATCACTCAATATTCAAATTTCAAATGTACATGTTATTAGTGTACAAGTGTTGAGTATAGTATTAAGACAATTAGTTAAAGCTTAATTTAGAGTAAAATAGCTTTGTATTTTCAGTGGTGTTCCACTGGCATTGTGCAGAGATATGTCAAAGCAACAATAAACAAAGAAAAATGTTTAGGATTCACTTAGGTATCAATTCTAAGTGATTCTAACCATCACTCTTCACTTAGGTATTCTAAGTGACTCTAACCATCACTCTTCAGGGTAAGCATGCACTTGTACCTCAACTTTTATGGTTTCCTGAGGTAGCAGATGAGTGGTATCACTGATGCTGCCTTCACCAATGTCTTTCTCCCCACAGTCCTCATCCAAGGGTCCCTCAAGTAAGCTGTCCACTTCAGCAACTTTCTCACACTGCCCATGAACTCCCCCTGAATCATTAAGCTCATGTCCAACATTTTCAAAAGCCAAATCCATACTGTCTATATTACGAGAAAACTGCTCAAGCTCAGACGCGGGACGAAGCACCACAGATGACGGCACAGTTTCTGCTGTCCCATATGAACTACGTATACATGAATTACCTTCTGATCCTTGGGTTGAGTTTGTTGGTACCTTGGGAAGAGTGGAATAATAGGTGCCCAGGACTCTACTTGGAAGATCAAATACCGCAAAAAAGAAGTATCCAAGGCCAGCACCAACCACAACAGCGATGGTGAAGTATGCATTGTAAGTCATGACCACAAGCATCAGTATGTATCCTACTGTGAGGTGCAGGATGTGTAGGAAAGATTGTAGGATATGGAACTTCACCCTGTTGAGAATAAAACTGTCAGCAAGTTGTACTGTATACTGTACACATCATATTTTCTTTTGCTCGTTCAATACAGAAGGTCTCCTAACTAACAGTTGTGTTCCTAGGTTTTCAACTTCCAAACAAGTTGTTTGCATAGAAATACAGTAGTTGTACAGTGCAGAGGATGGTAATGTTTCATGCATTTTGTACGATCGTTCACTAGCTATAAGACTAACTAGTTCCTATGTGCTATGCTCATAAATGCAGATGTTTGAGACTGGATGACAGTACGTTGAAGACCTCCTGTATCCTGAATTAAAGTTACCACAGCACCCTGATGAAGCCTGCCATCAAATGTCTCGAGGTTTTATTTTGTAAATGTTGTATACAGTAATTTAATATTAAGGACTCAAGGAAAAGTTATGTCATGTTTCTTTACAATAGTTGAAATTCGGTAAGGTACAAATACTTAAATCTTACAAATAAAAAATAAGTTTACCTTGAATATGCCTCATCATGAAACTTGTAACATTGAAGAAATGGTTTATATAAAACCTATATCTTAGTTTCCAAGATCCTATACATGAACACATCTGTGTTGTGGCAAGTTTCTCACATTCAGTATACAATAACACTTTGCTAATGCCACATTACTATTATTAAAATCAATGGGAAGTGCTAAACCCATAGGGGCCATAGAGGGAGAAAGGGAGGTAATCAGAGTCGATCAAAGGAAAG